ATTGATGTTTGTTATTGTACTTTTTCATATATATTTTAAAATAAAAATTAAATTAAAAACAAATAAATAATTAAGTTAAAAATAAATAAATAAAAATAGAGATAGAATGGTTTTCAAAAAAGCGAACTCTGTTTAGTTATGGTCCTAACTGATAAAAAACTGTAAAACTCTCGAGAAATCTTACAGCCCGATCACTTCATTATAGCAAGAGTAACTCATAGTAAAAAATAAAATCTCAGGTGTGATGTTATAAACTTGCTGAATCTTAATTTTAATACTATATTAAATTTTATTGAAAGCTCAAATCCTCATTATATATGTGATATAAATAATTCTGTAGAATATTATCACTATAAAATCCTTATAAATAAGATTTTGAGAACGAATATCATGATTTATATTGCACAGTATGTAATTGAGAATAGACTTTTTAGTTAGCTATTTTATCATAACTATAACATATATTGTAAATATACATATACAAGATCTAGATTTACTTTATTCCACTCTAGTAGATACCAAATCTAGTTCATGCTGAGGTTATTTTGCAATAGAAAAAATTTAAAGTGTATATATTCTTTGTACTTATAATAAACAGTCTAGATATTTAAAAAAAATTATATTTAATAAAGATTTCATGGTTTACAGATGAGTCTAATAGTGTATTTATATTAACGTTATATATACTGGAAACGGACACAAAGCCAAAATTTAGAAATATATATATGTTTTACAAAAAAACTTCACATTTACAAATCAGGATTTTTATTAAGTAATTTGCGTTACAATTACTTAGTAAATATAGATCATTTTCTCCGATTGACTCACAGATTGTCAATTAATATATTTACCAATTCATATATACCCTGCTATATATACTACTGTACAACATCTACTAGTTATAATCCACCCCTCATTACTTATCACATTACTCCTAATTTGTTTCTTGTATAACTTCCAAATTGGTGTCCTAGGAGTAAGTGCTCTTCTTGCTTCTAGTTTGGTGTCCCTTGAGATATTACTTTAGATCCTAATTCAATCTCAAGTCAGGTGCTACTACCATCCAAAGACCTATATCTCAAGCTACCTGCTGCCGCCATTAGGAGAGCTGTTCATATAGTTCTAGACATTCACGTTATAACAACTTAATTAGGCTATCACCCCTTTTATAATACTCTCTATCAGTATGGTGATATAGAAGTCTAGATTCTTAGAACAAGAGTTAAGTATCTCATTTAATTACTGCTACAAAGCAGTAACCTGGGACTCGTGCTTCTGCTATGTTTTATCATAAACTCTCATATAGGTTGTGTGACTATTATTCACTAGCCGTCTTTATGTTCGTACTATTAGGGTGCTTGCTTCCATGCTTTTTGGAGTTTCTTTTAACCAGTTTTCCTTGTTTCTTTATTGACTAGAGGTGTTTCATATTTGGTAAAGCCATTCTCCTACCATAGCCTTTTACTATATTCACCACTTCTCTTACCACTTCTGGATATATTGCATATAGCCATTCTTCTAATCAAGATCCTAATACCACCTTAGGGTTGTTGGTACTACCTTGCCAATTATAGATTCACATGCATAGCCTTCTGCAGTATTACCTTCTGTGACCCATATCACACGTAGTGCCCAATCTTCTCCATAGCTTGGGACTCTTTTCAAGAATTCTTTATCAGCCAAATATGTACTTCATATGGTTTTACTGCCACAGAGTTCTGTATTCAAAAGCTCTCAAAAGTTATAGAGATAATTAATTTAATTAATTACCACCTGCTATAATTAAACTGTCAACCTCATCTGTGGAAGGTTAGGCATCTAAACCACTAGGCTACAGGACCCTAGCCTCCAATTTAATCTATTTTAAATCAAATTATATATTTTATTTATAAATAAAAATTTAGTAATTTTAATTTTTTAAATATTAAAGTATTTTAAAAAGGTTTTCTAGGCATCTCTGGCCAAAGAAATATAACTTATATATCTCTGGCCTTTCAGCTAATTAAATTGCAAAAAAGTCATGTGATTGCCATTTTTAGCAATTGTGTAATTACATAATCATGTCGGATAGGTCAGCTACTTTTATATAACCTAAAACTATGAACTAACAAGTCAGACGGACACTTGGAGAATCTAACTTAAAAAATATATATCAACCTTTTAAATTCATAACCACCTAAGCAAACTCAATATATTTGAATTCTATAATCTATAAAATTCAAATAAAAAAATTTTATTGAGTTTGGTCAGGTGGTTGTGGAGATATTTTTGCTTAAAGTTAGAAAAAATCAAACCACCTATAAAAATTGAAGCTACAAAACAAATTTAGCCAAAGATATCTCCGCAACCACCTGACCAAATTTAACAAAAATTTTTTTATTTGAATTCTATGAATTCATAGAATTCAAATAAAAAGTTTTTATTGACCTTGATCAGGTAATTATGGAGATATCTCTACTCAAAGTTAGAAAAAAGTCAATCTGTTTATTAAATTAAAAGTTAAGCAATTTTTTCAAAAAAATTAAGCAAAGATATCTTCACGAATACCTGCTCAAATTTGACAAAATTTTTTTAAATTGAATTCTATAGAATCATAAAAACTTAAATAAATAAATTTTATCAGGTTTGATCAGGTGGCTGTGAATATATTTTTGCTCAAAGTTAGAGAAAGTTTAAAACGCCTATCAAAACAAGCTACAATTTTTTTAAGAAATTTGAGTGAAGTTATTTTCACAACTACCTGACCAAATTCAATAAAATTTTTTTTTATTTGAATTCTATGAATTTATAGAATTTAAATAAAAATTTTTTTATTGAACTTGGTTAGGTGGCTATAGAGATACCTTCATTTGAAGTTAAATAAAATTAATCTGCTAAATAAACTGATTGAATATACAAAAATATATCACTATTACGGCATTTAATTTAATTTATCAAGTATATATATATCAACTTTTAAAATTTACTATAACATTTATCTTCAAATTTTTTAATATGTAAATAGAAAAAAAGATTGTAATACACTATTATTTATTTATTTAAAAAAAAAAAAGCTAAAACAAGCGTAGCACTATATTAAAATTAAAAACTTTACATGTAAAACATCATTTAATTTACTAATCAATGCCACCCTCTAATTTAGCAATTAATAGTAGCTACACCATATTGATAATAATAAGCAAAATATCCAACAAAATCACATCTAATAGTACAAAAAAAAAAACAGCAAAATAATAGACCTATACTACCAATCAAATGATGACAACGACTTTAATAACTCCAATAATAGTAATGATATCATTGATGAAATTATTTTTAAGAAAAAGAAGTTAGTAAATATAGAGAAAAAAATCTTAAACACATTAATAAAGAAATTATACCCAGAAAATGAACAGTGACTCTAAAAACAAACCCATACTAGAAGAGATATTAGTAATTTAAAAAAAAACAATACAAAAACTAGTATACTGACTCCAACGAGAACCACAAAATTACAACTAGAAAAGAACGGCAACTCCAACTAACTTCAATGATGAAATTACACTAGAAGATGCACGATGACTCTAACACAAACCCATATTGAAAGAGATGTTAAGAATATTAAAAAAAAAGAAAACAACATAACAATTTATATACAAATCTCACCTAGAAAAAGAACAGTGACTCCAACTGTCCCCACTTCAATGACAACTCGTATACTGACTCCAATGACAAAATTGCACCTGGAAGAAGAACAGCGACTCCAAATGAACTCATATTGGAAAAAAAAAAGAGACATTAATAATATTAAAAAGAAAAAAATGCATAGTGACAACTCATACACTAACTCCAACAATGAAATCACACCTGGAGATGAACTTATACTAGAGAAAAGAGGTATTAGAATATTAAAAAAAAGAAACGAAAACAATGTAATATAGTAATAACTTACACGACTCTAACGATACAATAGTGATTTAAACAACAAAATCATATCTGGAAAAGAGAAGAATTAATGAATATAGAAAAAAAAAGCAGCATGAAGATTTAAATAAGCTTACATCAACAACACGACTCCAATAATGACAATCTTAACGAATTACACCTAAGTATAGCAATGCAAAGATTAAAAAAGAATTAGCACTGTACTCCCTTACCCCGGTATTCAAAAAAAACTAAAAGAATCTACTATACAAAAAAACAATAAATAAAGTAAAAAGCAATGAAAAAGCAAAATAAACTAATCTATACTTATTTAGATCTGGCGATGCAAGATATGATCATTCAATTTTGCATCGGCAATCATATTAATACATAAACTTTAATCATATGATCTTTTCGTTCTTTGATTGGTTAAAGAGGCCAGAGATATATAAGTTATATATTTCTGACCAGAGATGCCTAGAATTTCCCTTTTAAAAATATTAGCTTTTAAAATTTTTATTAGTTTTAATCAGACTATTTTAATCTATTTCGAATTATTTCAAATTATTTTTGCTTACTTATATCTTGAAAATTTATCTTAATTTATTTCAAATTATTTCAAATTATTTTATATAATATTGTATAATATCTATGTAATATTGTATAATAACTTATATAATATTGCATAATATCGAGATGTGGCGCCTTAGTGAAGTGGTTTAGTCGTCACCCTCTCCAAATAGTAATGGTATATTCCTCAAGGTTCGAATCCCAGGGAAGACGCTTTTGAAAATAGCGAAAACGGAATATGTCAGACGA